ATTTAGTTCGAAACACCAATTGAAGGCAGTGGATCGGCAAAATCCAAAAACTCAAGATTTTAGCGCGGTAGGTTCCTTATCGCTCAAGTATGAAAACAGTGCAATCCCGGTTGCACAGCATGCTTTCCCTGCCGAGAAAATCGCTCTCAAACTCACGCGCAGGCCAATCTTACACGCATCTGGACGAGTTGGCAATTTCCTTCTCACCATTGGAGGCTGCCCGCCGCAACGCCATAACCATTGGGTCCTGCAACGATTTAGCGTCATCGGCCTTGCTCCACTCGTCCAATTCCAAAGGGAAGGGCATTAAAAAACGCTTATTTTCGTTGTTTTCAAGCTTTCAAAAATGGATTTTCTGGATCAGCGTATTGAAAAACCACAGGTAAGCGCAAATTTGACTAGGTTGAGATTTGCCGAGCCACTGCCTCTCAAAGCAGTATGCAGGCAAATCGGGGCGCATAGTTTCCCGCCTAGAATTTGATGGAGGTTCTAACCAAGGCACTGCCCAAGGCCAAAATGTTCATGGCTGAGAAAACCGTCCCCGAAAATCCCGAGCCTGCGCCGTGACCGTAACCCGAAAACGTCTTCTCTCACTTTAACACTACGTTCGCGCTATGACCCATCCTAAGTACGGTCACGGCGCAGCCGCGAAGTGTTTGGGGACGGATTTCTCAGCAGTGAATGAACAATTTGCACTGCGGTCTGGGCAGTGCCATAGCTAGAACCTCCTCGTCAATTTCCAGGCAAAAAACCGTATGCCTAGATTCGCCTGGACACTGCCCCCATGAAGCGGAAAATTGTTAAACTTTACGAAGACTTCGCTGCCATTAGATTATTGAGGATTCCTGGGACACCTGTTTTCATAACCAAATTAGCAATGCTAACAAGCAATTCCACTTGTCTAATAGGGGATGTCAGCGTCTTGGAGAACCGATTCAAAGCCTTATCTCTAGCAACTTCAAAAATGAAAAAAAATTTTCTTTCTAAACCTATCATTTTCTGTTCATTTGTCTATTGAGTAGTAAAAGCTTTGAACAAATTACAAAAATTTCTTTAACGTTTCTCAGGCATTTTTACAAGCAAAGTTATAAGGAACTGTATTCTCATGCATTTCCATAAGTTTCTTTGCCAAACAGTTCTGGATCATTGCCAAATCCTATCCGGAGCGCTCGCGCTCGCAATTATCTCCTGCAGAAATGGAGAACCTCTATATACTAAATTCATCCCATTTGGACATCGCATTCTGACTTTGAGTCCGGAATTTCAATAAAACGGGGCTACTTGGTGCAGATATCAGCTCTGTTAGGGTACAAATTGGTGCTGATAACGTTGCTGATAGTTTATGACCTCTATAACTATGCTGCGGCAAGTCTTTTGGATGGATAAGTTCCGTTCCCCGGGGAAGGGCTATTCACTTTCACTAGCTTCTTCAAGCACGGAAATGTTCACGAACTACTGAAATTTACTCCATTGTGTAGCATACAAAAATATTCAAAACCACCAGTTCTGAAAAAAAAAACTCTTACCTATAGAGGAGACATCACTCGTACAAAACTATTCCTCTTATTTGAGACGCAGAAAACATTCATTCCTTTACTCTAATTTCCAGTCCTATGTCCGAGGTTATTCTGAACTTGTTAATGAGAAAAGATGAGAAACAATTATTTTGGCCCTTTTTATTTTAGCTTTGTATTCTAATAATGTCGTTCGCAGCAGTAATTGAAGAAATGCCCAAATTTAAAGAGTCAGGCTTTCACGAAGCCTAGAAGAACCTGGGCTTTTTCCATAATTTGAGTTGATTTTTTGATGAGTTCGGATAAACTCTTAGTATGCCACTTTTGAGAACTTTGAAAAGCTCATTCAATTACCGCATTACCTATCGTACTAAAATATGAGTATTGAATAGCAAATATGCAAAAATTATTAGATTTTACTTCACCATATCTCCAACGACAACAGTTCCAAAAAAGCGAGATATTTGAGAGAGTTATGGATCTGTTTAGGATTGAAGAATTTCAATTCACGCATTTCTTGTCATTTGCTATTTGAAAGATACGCTTTACCAACAAGTATGCGGAGCTTGATTGTTCCATTTTTGGTCCATATTCCATGCAATTTGCAAAACGACCAGAAAAATGTCCACACTGTTGATCTTTTCTCTGATTTTTGTCTTTTCTAAAAGTTTTTCGCGAAATTGCAGGTATCTTCACTGTTGATTAATCTTAGGCATACGTCATCCCCTTGACTTGATCCGCGTAATCCGCTTCGTCATTGGTCATTCCAGTGAACTACCAATAGTGAAGTGGGTGAAGTGGATCAAGTGGATCAAGTGGAGCAAGTGGATCAAGTGGACAACCGCTTCGCTATTGGTTAGTTCACTGAATTGACCGATGATGACGAAGCGGATCAAGCGAATCAAGACCAAGCAGATAAAGTATGGCGCGTGCCTTACGATTAGACTTGCTGTATAAAATTTGTATCTCAACACAGTAATAAAGGGTAGAAACTTCAACTGGCTGCATTGTAATTTACTATTACAGGAAACTTCCAAAATACTGGTATTTTTTGCGTCAAGGTTTTCTGCTGAATCCATCGAATTATTCACATATTTTGCTCATCTGAAAACAAGTTTTTGGATGGCTATTGAGAAGAGCGGTGTACCTAAATAACTTTTCATTTGGAAATCCGGTTGTAGGATTACCAAATAATGGAAATGAAAGACGTACTTTGCTGAGTAAAGCTGAACCCCGATGTTTCCGGGATCCCTTAAGCTGTGCTTAACGTTTGCAGTAAATAATGCGCAAATACTCCGGAATAGTAGGAACATATAAGGCAATGAGAGACAAAAACAACGGGAGCAGAGAGTTCTATAGAGAAAGTTCAACTATCGAACTGTAGTAGGTTTTCGCAGCGGCTAGCATGGTCGCGCAAATGAGCGCTGATAAGCACCAGGATCCGACATAAGCGTTGAACTAATCAGTCCTAAATTAGATGTAGTCGGGTGATATGATGTCAGTCGTTCAAAACATTGTAGTTCAATCTCTTGCACGCTTCTCAACGAATATCTTTGCTGGAATTGTGCCAGTTGATTCCATCGGTCTAAATTATTGAATTTTTCGCGCTACGGTTGGTGGTCATCTTCTTTATTATCATAATTGCAGCAATCGTCCGCCTTCACCTAGAAAATTTTCCGAAGAATACTGTGAGGATTCGGAAGTGAATTTATTGTATAATTCACTTTTCGCATTATACATAGGTGTTAACTTACAAATGAGAGATATTTGCAGCCAGAACTCTTTGGAGATTTTTTATAGAAAAAAATGCTGGAGTTGAAAGACCGAAAAAATTCCTTCTTCATATATGCGGCATTATGTGAAAAATAGAAATTTTATTCTGAACGAAATTAAACTGAAAAAAAAGAAGATACTTCCAAGTAGTAAAGATCAGCGCGAATTCATCTGTCAGAAAAGTAAGCCCTAAAACCAAAACGAAAATGTAAAGTTTGTTGAACATCGTAACATTTTTTAGCTGAATAAAATCAAGCACGACTACCCTAATACCTCAAAACGCCTGCGCCAAAATCAGTCCAACAAAAGCTTAGATATTCAACTTTGGAACTCACTTTTCCCGAAGAAAAAAGAGGGCGTATATCGGTTACTCTCAAAGGACTCCTTAGGCTGCATCATAACTGTGAGCCTGACCAGCTAGTCTCATAAAACCGCGGCTTTATCATCAAAAGAATAATTTTTTCATGCAAAATACAAAAATCGGCTGAAATAGTACTTTCACCCTAACACCAACACCGCCAGAATTCCGTTCTAGCCATTTCCAACGATGTGCAAGCAGTAGCTAAATCTTGTTTCTCTGTTGTCTAAGTACTTTACACCACCGCTGACTTTCAGCCCTTTTCTCGCATTGAGGTCCGATTCATCGACTTTCAGAAGTCATGGAAGAGCTTCCGATTGAATTAAAACAAGCCTTATTTTCAAGAAAGTCTGCAACTTTGGAATCCAAAATTCCCGACTACCGAAAAATATTTGTCTATTTTCTGATTGGACAAGAATTTGGGAAAATTGTAGCTTGCTCAGAAACAACACAACAGATAAGAGATGCCACGAAGGGCAGCGATGGCGACGTCTACAAACCATCAAGGAAACGCGGGTGAAAGTAGCATAGCAGCATTGGTCGGGTGATCACCATCTTCCAAGGGCAGGTATAGAGTAGCTCTAAGAATGGTCATGTTAGGATTATCCAGACTATGAAAAGTTTGTTTTCTGACAGCAACAAATTATTTATCTAATTATTTATTCAATCAAAAACGCTCAAGCACCGCCTAGGTCCGGTTAGTAATTCACAACAAACAGTGCAAGTGTTAGTCTCAATATCAAAACAAGAAACATTGGGTTAAAGAAAACGTCCGAAAAACTAACGTAACCAATGGTTCAAGCAGATCACCACTTCAGAGAGTTATAAGAGCACGTAAACTATGTCACTTATAGATGCGAAAAAGAGAACTGTTCGTTCAACTCTTTGCTTATCTGCGTCTCCACTTTTCGCGCGCTCTCTCGCTATGCGCACGCCATTCAAGGTGCATTTGACTTTCTTAACCTTTCTTTGTGGTTTTGAATCCAATTCTGGCAAACTGTACATCACTCAGAGCTCTTGAAACCTACTGACGCGCTGATAACGTTGCCATGTTCAGTCATTTGTTTCAATCGGATCTGGCAAAAACCCTTTTTTGCCTTCCATTTTGTCTCCAGATTGTAGTCGGTTTTCTCATGCATTTGATACATCTTAGTTTTTACAAAGTAGATAACTGCTGAACTTACTTTTTCGACCATGGTCAAGCGTGTGATGCGACTTCGCAAGTCGGGTCTCGAACTTGCGCATGTTTCCACGCATGTAGAAAATAAAACCGGTGCGTCTTGTGCAAGTGGAATTGGTCTATTTTTTTCAAAAACTAAAAAAAAGCAGCAGTAGATCGGATGTTTCCCATCTTTTGGGTTTTTTGTGATAAATTCATTACGCCTCGAGACTAGCCATTGTAGAAGGCGAAACATCTATTGTGCAAGGTCTGCAGGTTGAAATTATGTACTTTATGGAAGCCACAAGTTTGGGCGGCGCTAGCCAACTTTCCTGATATTTTGAAAAAACATATCCTGCATGTACGTATGAGCAAACTGAGGGTGGGAGCTTTTTGCGGAAATTCTTTTGTGTAACTGAAAATTTAATTCTGTTTTCAAATTTTACGTGCTTCAACCCTGCTTGAATTGGATGCTGACTTGCAGAGCTTGTTTTGCTCCAACAGATAGCTTCTTGAGCCTTGATCAACCAAGCTGAAACAAGCAGGATTTCGGAATTTATGTGATATACTCTTCGATACTCTTTTCACATTTTCAAAGGCTCTTGCATAGAAAACATATTTTTAAGGAGAAGTTTGAGACTACTCGTCTCATCTTTTTCCAAAAAAAGAAATTCTAGGCTCAATCGCCTCATTTCCATTCTTATGTGCTTAATTATATTGTTTGACGAATCGTATTCAAAGATTTATAGAATCGTTACCTTATCGTTCACAAAACTGGTACATAGCCGTAGCTAATAACAGAGATTATATACATCGGAATGGTACAGAAGTGCAAAATTACAAAAGCAACACATTAGAAAGGAAAGCCTGAAAATATCACAGACACATCTCAAATGACTAGACATAACCCCACAATGGAACATGATCAAGAAACAGAGTGGTAAGTGAAAGAAAAAACGAAAAACTAAAGCTTCCCAGCAGCGTAGTCACAACCGGTAATAAGAGCCAGTTTCAATAAATGAGGTTAAGCAAAAGAGGTAAGCTAAAAAATATGCTTCCATATATGGTTCCTCTTCTACGCAGATAAACAGCGTTCTATGACTAAAGCTCTTCGTCAATGTCATTCATAAGTGGATCTGCAGCTAAAGTACTGCGCCGCTTTCGTTTTAAAACAACATCTAAAGCTAGGAATCCGCCTAACAATGCCGTGGTACAGGCAAAGACTGCCGTAGAGACTAGAAAAAGTAAGGTGTTCCAACAAAGAAATGTGAAGAAATGTAAAGAAGAAATGTTAACTCACTCATGTAAGTAACGGCATCTGGCCCATCTAATCCGCACTCTGATTTCCAGTCAACCGGAAGATACCTAGAAAAATGGAAGTAACAGCGCACTAATAACTTATTTTATGAGCAGTATGAGTTGAATCTATATGAAAGTAAACATTTACTGAAGACTTATTTTGATTAGGCTAACCAATAAATAAATTCTGTTTTCTAACAAACTCTCTTGAAATCGATACGAAAGCCAACTAAAATTGGCACCATTTATAGTAGAATAGAAAATCACTTACTTGTGCACAGTGGTCTTCAACGCGTCGAGTGTGCAAGGATGTGGACAACCAGGAATTTCATAGCGATACACTTCATCCTTGTCGGTCATATTTTTGTGATATACCTAAGTTGAATTAATGATTATTTCCATACAGTATCATGGCAAATTCTTTTTTAGCACTATCTCGAAGGAGCACAGTTTTTCAGTATAGTGGAGCAGTAGTCCCAATTTGCGTCCCTCACCCACACGCGGAAAAAAGCATGTAATTCGGCAGCGGTCAACTAGGACGTTGCTGTGTACAGTTCTCATTAATTTGTACGGCTTCAAGATAAACTCATAATCGGTCTCCATGCGTGCAATCCATGTGGTTTTGACGTAAGGCAAAAAGAAAGTCAAAAATATTCTGAGCCACTATCATTGAGGTACACGAGTCAGGGTTGATAGAAGGGGTGGGAAGAGAAGAGAGGAGTAGAGGAAGAACGCGAGCTACATAACTCAAAGATTTGTTGACTGTTTTTGAAACAAGCCTCTAAAATTCTTTGTGTGAATGTGTTCCTGTTGCAGCAGAGGCTTTATTACTCTGAATGCAGCAATACCTGCCGCTTCCCTTCACTCCTTACGGAAAGTTTTCCCCAAAACAGCTACTCTCCTTGAGCATACAAGTTTACCCATGACAAGAGATTTCACTATAACTCTAAATCTACTGCAAGGCACACTGCTCTTACTTAGATTCGCTCAAAGAAAACCTTATGACATTCAGATAGAAGCGAAAAACTCTCCAGTCACAATCTCACCTCCACAACAAACTCTCCATCCCTTTTGTGAAGCTCCAGTAACACCGCGGTCGCATACTTTGGAAAATCTTCCGGATAGATACCTAATGTAGACAGCATAGCAGCGAGAGTAGTGTCATGCTGCAAATTAAATCGCTTTAAAACATGCAAAAACAAATATCAATGAGTCTACATACCCTACTAGGGCGATTTAGATGCAAATCATAAGAAAAAGAGACATTTGAAACGAGCAGTCCCTCATCCCCCGAAAATAAAAACAGAGAATTGCCTAACATTGAACCAAAAGAAAGGTCTTTCTATTTTAAGAGCCACTTTGCATGCGTGCAATACATCCATTTTCTCATGTAAGAATCGATCAAGAATGACTCACAGCTGAATAAGCATAAAGCTTTGGCTTTTCACCCAACATTCCATTCCTTTTTGCAATGAAGCGATCGATAATGTCTTTGAGCAAAGGGCCTAAAGTTTACATCAATTGAATGTTAATTTCAGCTTTGACTCAAAAATATACGTGGAAATCCTACCTCCCCGCAAACGCCGCAAGATCTCCGTATGATACTTCATCCGAGAGGAAGCATCGTACAATTTTTGCAAACGGTCGAATAATGTTGCATTCATCCAACTAGGCCATTTGTGCGTGTCGTTGTGTTGCAGCTAAGAATGTACTTTAGCATGTTCACGAACTTCTCTATAAATACCTTACCATGCAAAAAAGATTGTCGTAGATCATCCACAGCTGGTAAAATTGAAAGTTAGGCATCTGAGCATGCTTTCGTAGGTAGTCGATGAGATCCTGGTTATCATTCTCCAACTTGCTGACTACCCCGGATTTCCATACAGTGCTGAATTCAGCTGCAGCTGTAGGGCAATTGATGTCCTCGTAAAGCTCCTTAAGAATTCAAACGAAAATAGCAGGAAATGGAGATTGCTGCTTGAACAAAGTCAACTTGTGCGAATAAAAACAATCGGAGAAGTCTCAATCATATGAAAAAGAAGTTCCTAATATTATGATAAGCTATATACCTTGTCAGCAGATCTTGGGACAGAGTGAACAGGCACTGGTTGCCACGTCAGTATCGGATCCCACATCTCTGGTTTTGATGGCGGAAACAATCCTGCGAATTAAGATACTATGCAGCAAGTTGACGATGAGTGGAAATTTATTCTGCCTACCAGCCATATTTGCTAGTGCGGACATAAGCGTTCTATTGTAGTCGCTGCTTCGTACATATACTTCATTGCGATCAAAATATTCTCCTAACCAACTTCCATATCGGGCGCGCAACCATTTACCCAGGTGATACGTTTGCACTAGAAGAATGCAGGTGACTTCCTAGTTTTGTGCTCCAAGATACACAAACACACTCATTCAGACGACAAAGGAGGAAAAAGCTATAAAACTACTAAATCACTGTTCAAACAAGAAAAAAATAAATTTCTTTTCCAAACTGGATTTAGCATGTTTTAATTCGAAAACAAACCTATCAAGAATGTATAGCAAGCAATTTCTTCATAAAATTGGATAGCAGATCAAATATCTCAATCGGATAACTATTGGGTCGTCCCATAAGTCTTTTCATTTTTGAGTTTTCGCTATAATAAGTCACACACTTCTTGTTCTAAATAGACATCAGGATACCATTCGATAGAGCAAAGCAAGCTCTATAAGATGGCTTCTATGCTTCTGCACAAGCTATGGTCCATCTCGAGTTCTAAACCAAAATCAAAGTTTGGGGTGGCCAGAAAACCGAAAAAGTTTTATATCTTCGTTCAAAAAAATCTTACAGATCTCTAACTCGCTCACGCTATACATTCCACATCAGACATTCATATGTGCTGTTGCTGTATTTTTTCATCAGCTGGAATAAAGAAACGGAAAATTTCCATGTTTTTACCAAAGTGATGCTGTGCTGTTCTTACATTAACAGTTGTATACTACAAGCCCTTAGAAGTACATTTGTAATAGCTCTCTATAAGCTCTGGTTTCCGAGAGATGTTGATTTAAGCGTGAAAAACCCGAGTGAAAAAAGCTAAATTTGATATTTCTCGTGAACCAGAGCATATAGAGAGCCAAAATCTACGGTAGTACTTCCAAGGGCTTCTAGTATACAAATGTTAGTGTAGAAACAGCACAACATCACTTTGGTAAAAACATGGAAATGTTCGGTTTCTTGATTTCTAGCTGATAAAAAAAATACAGCAACAGCACATATGAATGTCTGATGTGGAATGTAGGTATATGCATGAGCGAATTAGAGGCTTGTAGGGGGGTTTTTTTTTCGAACAAAGATATGAAAAATTTCCGGTTTTTTTTGGGCATCCGAAACTTTTTAGATTTTGGTTTGAAACTCGAGATGGACCAAAGCTTGTGCAAAAACATAAACGCCATTGTATAGAGCTTGCTTTGCTCTATCGAATGGTATCCTGATGTCTATTTAGAATAAGAAGTGTGTGACTTATCATAACGAAAACTCAAAAATGAAAAGACTTAGGGGACAACCTAATATACAAAATTATCTATAAAAGTGATAACTCACCTATTCCCTTTCTGGTCAATTCTCCCAGCCCTTCACTCCAAGAGCTTTCTTCACAAAAAGGTACTGAAGCTGCCGGTGTTCGATCGCCATGTCGCCATGCCTATATGCGAGAAATGTAGGATTTCCAAGTTGGAAGCAGAGAAGGTCGCACATTTACCACCAAGAACAATATATGCACCAGCTCTTCAATATGGCAACGAATTATTTTAAAAGCTTTGCGGTGACATCAGTTTTGAATAACGATAATATAGCTGAGGTATTAAACGAGTAGCAGATGGTAAGAAAATACTCCATCCAAATGGTATATAATGTAATGATTTCGTGAGTAATGATTTTTACTCGTTTAAGGCCCCGGACAGACTTCACGCGATTTGATCGTAGCGATCTAATCGCCGAGATTTCCATTCATTTTCATTTTACATTCAAATATTTCGGGCTGGAAAAGTATCACAACCGAAATGCAAGTTGATAGGCATGGAATGATGTTGTAACAGTTGTCTTGTCGCGATTCAGGATCAAATCGATCAAATCGCGTGAAGTCTGCCCGGGGCCTAATAGGTTACTAAAGCATAGCAATCGAGAACGATTAGGTACGAGTTAAGGATAATGTAATGCTGCTGCTTTTTCAGCAAGCCACGTATAGCCAACAAATTCTAACCTTCTAAAGACTAAACATACCAGCTGAACGTAGACAAGAGTGCTGACGTTGGCTTGGAGAGGTGCTTGCCAAGCTTTCGTTGTTCGATCCAATGATTCTTCACTTGCTGCAGACACAAAATGAGAAGCCAACAGCAGGAAGCACCCGGCCACCAGCATCGCCCTAGCGATGCTCGGGTTATTGAGGTGGCTGAAATTGGAGGACATAACGCGAGAAAAAAGGGAAACTTTTCACAGGCCATAAATGCGAATTTTGTTTATAGCAACAGAAAAGGTCGATTTGCAATTCATATCGACAACAAGTAGAAATCGACAAACATGCGAAGAAGTGAAGAGGATGCAGAATGGCATGTAAATATGGACGAATTATATTCACCTTGTTTCATAAGAAAGACTATGGCAGGGAACCAAAGAAAATCTGTACAGTTAATGCTTTTTCGTTCTTGTATTCACTTCACTTTTAGTAAAAGATTCATTTGAGTCACTTGGACTCAAAATGCATATTGCACAAAAAGCGCGCTACATCACTTGTTAGATTAAACCCTATCTTCCAGCTTTGTTTCAATCACTGTTTGATTGCATATGTATCAGGTATTACACATTTTCACTGTTTGTTTCGATACATAAAAATTTTTTTTGAGGTGTCGTCGTTTGAAGCGCGCAGTGTGCTGGTTATTAAATAACCGATTCGCGCGTAATTGACTATATCATGAAATTTCCTGCAAGTTTAGGGTCTACCGCTTATCTAAACAAACTTGGATGCAAGACACGGCTACACGTGGAGGTACGCCGCGCACAGCAGCGGCTTTGCCGCGGCGTACGCGGCTCAGATTTTGTGCTTCGCAAACATTTTTCGGGCACGACGAGTCATTAGAAAGGTGCTGGTAGAAGCAGATTTTGTCGACTTCCCAATCGTAGCGAGGCGGATCCGTGATGTTCAACAAAGATCAATGGATCAGGTATGCCTTAGCACAGGGCAACAACCGCCGCACAAGAGGCGCTAGCGCAGCTCTGCTCAAAGTTTAGGAGCCACTCATAGAATCAAGTAGATTTTCCGCTCAATATAGTGTCTTGCAGTGCCGAGAAGATGCGGCAAAATTTGCGCGTGAACAAATAGCTACGCGCTTGTGACGTCAGCCACTTGTGCGCGGAAAATGCCAACCTTGCTTGCGTGCCTACCATCGGCTCCCCAATTGCGGCGAAGGCGGGCGAGCGTATCAGTGATGCGTTTGTCCAGTGTTGAAACATCACGACTTATAATAAGCCGCTTAGTTGTCGGTCTGTAAATCTGTCTGTTACGAAAATACAGTGAGGAATGATTTGCAATTCTTTGGAGCATGTGAGGTTCTGATAGCGAGTATGGTTCGTTTTTAATTAGGACTCTCTCACCGCAGTCAACCTGGCAATCATTACATATAAAAGAATCGTAAGGGGTACACTATGCATTTTTTGCAGAGAAGGACTTTTGAGCATCCTTCGCTCCTTTAAAACATCGCTGCGGGATCTTGGTATGTGCATTTGGACGGTCCTTTAGTTTCTGCGGATATAAAAGAGGCATTCACTCCAAGAATTCGTTACATTCGTTTTTTGTGTTTGTTTTTTGTTTCTAGTCTCGAAACCCCTTTTTAAACCTATTTTCGGAAAAGAACTTTCGCGGCAAGCTTTGTCCTTGAACAAGTGTGAGAAGCAATTTAACCTCAAAATTCAGAACTGTGCTTCCTTTCAGGTATGCGTTTCTCTCTACGGCCGCCATAAATGCCCCTTATCTCCACTTAGAAAACTTTTCTACAAGGATGTCATAGATTTTCGTCTTTTTTCCCAGCTTTGTTCGCTTACATGGGCATTTCCAGTAGAGACAACTATCCGTGAATGTTGCCTCACTTCAGACCCATTTTCTTCCCTTTTTACGAGAGATTTTCGAAATTTTAACAGCATTTTCATTTAAGAGATTTCTTCTAATTCCCTCCTCTTAAAGGAACTGTCCACCCTAAGTTAGGGGTGCGGAGTTTTCGACAGTTTACGATATTAGGACACCCACCGAGCCGATGCCCAAGTCGCGGCAAATGTCGCTTCGGAAGCGAGAAAATCGCTTCGGATTGTTGAAGAGGCGCAATAAGCCCAAGTCGGCACCGCCTCCCCCAGTAACGCCCGCCTCTCCGTGCGCGAACATCCAATCACCGCTGCGGAGAACCGACTTAGGGCAACAACAGCGAGCCCCCTCCTTCCCCAAAAGTCACTCACCCGTGTTGTTTCTGTAGTAGCTCATCTCGATTGCCTGTCAACCGATGATGAGCTTTGGTCTTCGTAAAATGAGATACCAAATGATGCTGCCAATCTTCTACACATCATTACATATAAAAGAATCGTAAGGGGTACACTATGCATTTTTTGCAGAGAAGGACTTTTGAGCATCCTTCGCTCCTTTAAAACATCGCTGCGGGATCTTGGTATGTGCATTTGGACGGTCCTTTAGTTTCTGCGGATATAAAAGAGGCATTCACTCCAAGAATTCGTTACATTCGTTTTTTGTGTTTGTTTTTTGTTTCTAGTCTCGAAACCCCTTTTTAAACCTATTTTCGGAAAAGAACTTTCGCGGCAAGCTTTGTCCTCGAACAAGTGTGAGAAGCAATTTAACCTCAAAATTCAGAACTGTGCTTCCTTTCAGGTATGCGTTTCTCTCTACGGCCGCCATAAATGCCCCTTATCTCCACTTAGAAAACTTTTCTACAAGGATGTCATAGATTTTCGTCTTTTTTCCCAGCTTTGTTCGCTTACATGGGCATTTCCAGTAGAGACAACTATCCGTGAATGTTGCCTCACTTCAGACCCATTTTCTTCCCTTTTTACGAGAGATTTTCGAAATTTTAACAGCATTTTCATTTAAGAGATTTCTTCTAATTCCCTCCTCTTAAAGGAACCGTCCACCCTAAGTTAGGGGTGCGGAGTTTTCGACAGTTTACGATATTAGGACACCCACCGAGCCGATGCCCAAGTCGCGGCAAATGTCGCTTCGGAAGCGAGAAAATCGCTTCGGATTGTTGAAGAGGCGCAATAAGCCCAAGTCGGCACCGCCTCCCCCAGTAACGCCCGCCTCTCCGTGCGCGAACATCCAATCACCGCTGCGGAGAACCGACTTAGGGCAACAACAGCGAGCCCCCTCCTTCCCCAAAAGTCACTCACCCGTGTTGTTTCTGTAGTAGCTCATCTCGATTGCCTGTCAACCGATGATGAGCTTTGGTCTTCGTAAAATGAGATACCAAATGATGCTGCCAATCTTCTACACATCATTACATATAAAAGAATCGTAAGGGGTACACTATGCATTTTTTGCAGAGAAGGACTTTTGAGCATCCTTCGCTCCTTTAAAACATCGCTGCGGGATCTTGGTATGTGCATTTGGACGGTCCTTTAGTTTCTGCGGATATAAAAGAGGCATTCACTCCAAGAATTCGTTACATTCGTTTTTTGTGTTTGTTTTTTGTTTCTAGTCTCGAAACCCCTTTTTAAACCTATTTTCGGAAAAGAACTTTCGCGGCAAGCTTTGTCCTCGAACAAGTGTGAGAAGCAATTTAACCTCAAAATTCAGAACTGTGCTTCCTTTCAGGTATGCGTTTCTCTCTACGGCCGCCATAAATGCCCCTTATCTCCACTTAGAAAACTTTTCTACAAGGATGTCATAGATTTTCGTCTTTTTTCCCAGCTTTGTTCGCTTACATGGGCATTTCCAGTAGAGACAACTATCCGTGAATGTTGCCTCACTTCAGACCCATTTTCTTCCCTTTTTACGAGAGATTTTCGAAATTTTAACAGCATTTTCATTTAAGAGATTTCTTCTAATTCCCTCCTCTTAAAGGAACCGTCCACCCTAAGTTAGGGGTGCGGAGTTTTCGACAGTTTACGATATTAGGACACCCACCGAGCCGATGCCCAAGTCGCGGCAAATGTCGCTTCGGAAGCGAGAAAATCGCTTCGGATTGTTGAAGAGGCGCAATAAGCCCAAGTCGGCACCGCCTCCCCCAGTAACGCCCGCCTCTCCGTGCGCGAACATCCAATCACCGCTGCGGAGAACCGACTTAGGGCAACAACAGCGAGCCCCCTCCTTCCCCAAAAGTCACTCACCCGTGTTGTTTCTGTAGTAGCTCATCTCGATTGCCTGTCAACCGATGATGAGCTTTGGTCTTCGTAAAATGAGATACCAAATGATGCTGCCAATCTTCTACACATCATTACATATAAAAGAATCGTAAGGGGTACACTATGCATTTTTTGCAGAGAAGGACTTTTGAGCATCCTTCGCTCCTTTAAAACATCGCTGCGGGATCTTGGTATGTGCATTTGGACGGTCCTTTAGTTTCTGCGGATATAAAAGAGGCATTCACTCCAAGAATTCGTTACATTCGTTTTTTGTGTTTGTTTTTTGTTTCTAGTCCCGAAACCCCTTTTTAAACCTATTTTCGGAAAAGAACTTTCGCGGCAAGCTTTGTCCTCGAACAAGTGTGAGAAGCAATTTAACCTCAAAATTCAGAACTGTGCTTCCTTTCAGGTATGCGTTTCTCTCTACGGCCGCCATAAATGCCCCTTATCTCCACTTAGAAAACTTTTCTACAAGGATGTCATAGATTTTCGTCTTTTTTCCCAGCTTTGTTCGCTTACATGGGCATTTCCAGTAGAGACAACTATCCGTGAATGTTGCCTCACTTCAGACCCATTTTCTTCCCTTTTTACGAGAGATTTTCGAAATTTTAACAGCATTTTCATTTAAGAGATTTCTTCTAATTCCCTCCTCTTAAAGGAACCGTCCACCCTAAGTTAGGGGTGCGGAGTTTTCGACAGTTTACGATATTAGGACACCCAACGAGCCGATGCCCAAGTCGCGGCAAATGTCGCTTCGGAAGCGAGAAAATCGCTTCGGATTGTTGAAGAGGCGCAATAAGCCCAAGTCGGCACCGCCTCCCCCAGTAACGCCCGCCTCTCCGTGCGCGAACATCCAATCACCGCTGCGGAGAACCGACTTAGGGCAACAACAGCGAGCCCCCTCCTTCCCCAAAAGTCACTCACCCGTGTTGTTTCTGTAGTAGCTCATCTCGATTGCCTGTCAACCGATGATGAGCTTTGGTCTTCGTAAAATGAGATACCAAATGATGCTGCCAATCTTCTACACATCATTACATATAAAAGAATCGTAAGGGGTACACT